GAGACTAGCCAGGCCAACATGATGAAACCCTATCTCTACTAAAAATACAAAAAATTAGCTGGGCATGGTGGCAGGCACCTGTAATCCTAGCTACTTGGGAGTCTGAGGCAGGAGAATCACTTGAACCCAGGAGGCGGAGGTTGCAGTGAGCCAAGATCTCGCTACTGCACTCCAGCCTGGGCAACAAGAGCGAAACTCCATCTCAAAAAAAAAGAACTACTGCTTTAGTCAAACCCATATCTGATGCCCTAGAAAATCTCCAATAGGTCTAGCCTGAACCCCTAGTGTTGGGGAATTCACTATTAATACAGGGCCCCTAGGCCCTCTTTGCACATCTGTTTGGTTATTTATTTATTTATTTTATTTTATTTTTAGATGAAGTCTCACCCTGTCACCCAGGCTGGAGTGCAATGGCTCAAGCACAGCTCACTGCAGCCTCGACCTCCCGGGCTCAAGTGATCCTCCCACCTCAATCTGTGGAGTAGCTAGGAGTACAGGCACATGCTATCACACCCAGTTCATGTTTTAATTTTTTTGTAGAGATGGCATCTCACTATGTAGACCAGGCTGGTCTCCAACTCCTGACCTCAAGCAGTCCTCCCACCTTGGCTTCCCAATGTGCTGTGATTACAGGTGTGAGCCGCCTCACCTAGCCTGAACATTGATTGAAAATACCTCATAACTTTCAATGTTGAAGTGCAATGATGATGATAACAGCTGACATTTATTGGACATTTAGAATGTGCCAGGCATGGCAAAAGTGATTTTTATACATTGTCTCCTTTCATCCTCATTAGTCAATGCTAATTTCTACCCATTTTACAGATGAGAAATGAGAGCCTGTGAGTTAGGAGGTGATTTGCCCAAGTGGCTACTGGCTGATGGAATCAAGATTGGAACCCTGTGCTAAGTCCAGCCCCACTTCTTTTTTTGTTGTTTTGGTTTTTGGTTTTTGGTTTTTTGAGACCAGAGTCTCGCTCCGTTGCCCAGGCTGGAGGGCAGTGGCATCATCTCCACTCACTGCAGCCTCCGCCTCCCAGGTTCAAGCTATTCTCCTGCCTCAGCCTCCTGAGTAGCTAGGATTACAGGCATGCGCCACCACGTGCGGCTAATTTTTGTATTTTTAGTAGAGACGGGGGTTTCACCATGTTGGTCATGCTGGTCTCGAACTCCTAACCTCAGGTGATCCATCCACCTACGCCTCCCAAAGTGCTGGGATTACAGGCGTGAGCCACTGCAGCTGGTCCCTACGTCTTAATTAACCTCCAGACCACCTTGCCAAGTGATTTTACATATCCTTGGCTGAGCTCAGTCCACCTCCACTTTCCATCCCTGC